TCAAATCCAAACTTGGATGATCTTTCCCTATTTTTTGACATTTGATTTCATACACACCTTCAATTCTTTAGTTCTTGGACTCGACTCTTCATTGATTTTAACTTTCAACAAACGTCAATCATTCTGAATCCAGATCAAATGAATCAAAACCTACAAAAACACAATAGATTATGCATTAATCTCCTCAATTGCATGTTTTGACCATAATTTAGCAGTTTTAGTAATATTCACTTAAAAGGGCATAAGACACACCTCATCCTAAAAATCATACTAAAAACACACTCTTTAACATAACAAAAATATGTAAAATAAACACTTAACAAACTCCCTCACACTTAAATCATTGCTTGTTCTCAAGCAATAAGAAAAGTCAACCAACGACGAATTAAGAGGGGAAATGGATCAGGTGAACTTGAAATTCAATCGTTTTCAACTTAGCAAACCTTCATTATACAGCATTTCATAGTACCCACAATATTCATCATACAATGTAAAAGAGAGATAATTATTCCCAAAATTTAACATATCAAATATGAGCTCTCTACCTCACCTAATTTCTCTAATGATTAACTTATATAGTCCTCTTGGAGAAGTTCTTCCTTCGAAATGAAATATTCAGCTTCACAAACCTTAAAGAGGAAATTATTCACAAACCTTTTTTTCAAGAGGGCATAGAACACAACACCACATCCTAAAAATCATACTAAAAACACTCTTTAACATAACAAAAATACGTAAAATAAACACTAATCAATGATAGCTAACATTTATGAACAACCAAATGTATATTTGGAACTTTTTTGAGACATTGATTCTGCAAATTTTTGTGTGTTTCAGTGCTTGTTCTGACATAAGAATTCTACCTTTTTGCTATTTCTATGGTAATAAATAATCAAGATCATATTCAACTCTTTCACAAATGATCTTCGACTCCTTCACAAACTTTATTGTGATTGTATCCTGCATTTGTTTTATTTCTATATTTGCAATTGTTTTATATCCCAAAAAACACAACAAAATTAGTTCTTACTCTTTTATTTACAAAAGTGCATCTCATATGGCATGGATTAGCCTCTTTACAAGAACTATTACTGTTGGTTTCTACTAAATGCCATTTACTAAAATTAGAATATTAAAAGAATGATATTAGACCTAGTCTAATCCTTATAATTTATGGATACTTCTAGCTAAAGATCAGATAAATATATAATTCGTAGATTTTGAAAAGAAATATGAGATTAAATTTTTTATGAAGTAGATTAGTTGTTTACATTGTGAAACTCCTTTGAACTTAGATAGCTTATACGTGAAGGTACTCTTATTTGATATATAAATTCATGAATAAAGCCGTGGTTGTCTGTAACAAATGTGCTCGTGTTCCCTTTACTCCTTCCAAGTTATCAGTAGAAGAAACTATTGGAATAATTACTGATTGCAAATGATAAAGTTTTCACAAACATAAGTTAATTAAACTTATAAATGTATTAAGCCAATGTTCAATACTAAGTTTTGATTTGTGGAATGGGTAATATAATGGATAGCAGTACTGTGAATAGGTACCAATAAAAAAATTGGATGAGTAATATTAAGAAAAGAATTTGGTCGATAACAATTTCTTTTATTATAATCTAGAGAATTTAAAAATATCTTTACTATAGGTAAATTAGTAGCTGGACATCCAATACATAAGAACATGAGACACTACAATAAATATATTAAATGCATATCTAATAGAATTAAAACTTATTTTTTTGTTTAATAATATAAGAATTTGAAATTCCTAATTGAAATTAATCAAGACAATGGAGTTTACAATGAATTTGATATCTTTGACTCAAACCTTTTCTTTTTCTCAATGAGATGATTCATTTACAAAGGATTTGAACCTTTCATGATTCAAATCCATCCATCAGAATGCAGCCTAGTAGAAGATTCATTTTTTTGGGATCTATATAAAGATTTATACTAGTAGTTTTGAATGGAGAAGAGGCATATGAAAGAATTCTCTTACGAACAAGCTTTTTAGATAGGAGTACGGGCTCTTGTATTACCTTCACCTTGTTCAGAATGAAAATAACAAATTGTTTCTGTAAAACTTAATTTTCTTGACGTTTTATGTAGTTCTTATATTAAAAGTATATTAAGTATAACATAACATCATAGTAGTGTCATATTAGCTATATATTTGGTCACTTGTTGAATTTCTAACACTTTGAAATCTGTATGTGAAATCATTATCAACATCATTATCCGCAGTTTAGTATGCAATTATTAGTTTTAAAAGATCAGTTTTGTTTCTAAGAATATTAACTTATGTTTAGCTTTAAGTTTGAGGTTTGTGAAATGGCACCAAAGAGTTTTTCTTTTCTCTGTTTTTGTTTAAAGGGAAAATCGTTTAAAATGTCCCTCACGTTTTATAAAATGACTTTTTTCGTCCCTCACTTTTAAAAGTATAATTTTCCGTCCCTTACAAATTCACATTGATCAAATTTGATCCCTCCTTAAGTTTTCGACTAGTTTTTGGCCGGAATCCACCACGTGACTTGCAAGTGATCATTTTTTAAAGACAAAATTGTCAAATCAAATTTTTACATAATCAGATTCATAGTCCATCACATTTCACAAAATAAATTTTTTCGTCCCTAACATTTTATATATGCCTTTTGATTTTACTTGAACAGTATGAATAATATGTAATTTATCTCTATTGAATTTCATCTAAACATGCTAATCGTAGTTATACACATGCTATTCAATAGATATATACTAATAATTTTGTTTGAAACACATGTATATATTTATATGATTCCACCATTTGAACCTATTCAATATTTGTGACATTTCTCTTTTGGTAATAATTTATTTATTGAGTTGTATAATAAGGTCATCTAATTAATGGGTCCTAACTCGAATTCTACAATTGTGCTGACAAATTTCAATTTAAATCTGAAATTTCTACTCGACACTTTTAAAACCAACAATTGAATTATTTGCCTTGTGATTGTCTTAAAATTTGAAAGTGCCAATCATTTATTTCTTTTTGTCATACTTTTCTTTTGTTTACTTTTTCTATCCAAATTTAATTCGATATAAACACTCGATAATATTTAGGATTAAATATCTTCTTTATTTTCAAATTTCGAGTAAAAGAAAATGAATATAAGTAAAAAAACTAACAAATTTTTTAAACCTATGTATATATCTATTTGATTTCACTTAAGCTGTACGAATAGTATGTAAGATATCTCTATTTGATTTCACATGCTATTCGTACTGTTTAAGTAAAATCAAATAGATATATACATGGATTTAAAAAAAATTATTCAAACACATGATCAATAAAAGATAAAAAAATTCATTTTGAAAAATGTGAAGAATGAAAAAATTCATTTTGTAAAATGTAAGGGACGAAAAAATTTATTTTATGAAATGTGAGGGATTATGAATCGAATTATATAAATTTGATTTGACAATTTTGCCCTTAGAATATGATCACGTGCAAGGCATGTGGTGAATTCCGACCAAAAATCAGTCGGAAACATAAGTAGGAACCAAATTTGGCCAATATAAATTTGTAAGGGACGTAAAATTATATTTTTAAAAATAAGGGATGAAAAAAGTTATTTTGCAAAATGTGAGGGACGTTTTGAACGATTTTTCCTTGTTTAAAACCAATAAGTAACTTTTTTATGTGGTATAAATAAAAAGAAGATTTTTACAATCTCGTGTCCAGAGCGGTAAATTCAATCTTACTTTCAAAGATTTTCAAGAGTAATGGTAATTTTAAAGTTTTGAATTATATATTTTTTGTACTATAATTACCACATGTCTTGAGGTATAACATAAAATACCTAACATAAAGCGTATGTAAAATTAATAACTATAGCTAGCAATAGTTAACACTCAACACACACGCAAAGGACAATCCGATTTCTCATTTCTGATTAATGATAAAAAGAGATTGCAACTAATTTGAAGAACTAAATAAAGGCTTAATCATGAATTGTTTCCCCACGGGGGTTGAGCAGAAAATTGCCACTATAATAAAAAAAGAAACATACAAATTGCCTCTTGTTGACAAAAGGTCAAACAAGTGGATTAGATTTTTCATGTATGAGATGTGTAAGAAGACATTCAAGCCCTCACATACATAAGACTTTGATAGTTTTATCATTAGGAAATGGTAAGATCATATCTTTTTTCACTAAATAATATTGTTATATCTAGAAAATTGTTATACAATCATAGATGTATATAATCATAGCAATTAGATAAATTATTAATTAAATACATTTGCTAGTTATGATAATTTATTCAATTTAAATATTTTTCATAAGAAAATACTAGTATATACTTAAACATTAAACGGATTGTAAAGGGTAATTTTAAAGAGTAATATTTTTTAAAAAAGACCGTAAAGTGTAACTTTCAAATGTGAGTGGATATAACTTGAACTTTAAAAAGCTCAGGGGAGGTTTCTGCAATTAACACAAATTGCTTCTTGAAAGTTAAACACTGATAACCTCGACCGTATTCAGCAGTCAATAAGCAGACAACTACTCGTATCATCACCTTGAGGAAAATGGCGTTTTTCTTCAGAAACACCTCTCTTTCTCAGCTGCGACTCCAACCTCAGGTACATCCATTTCGTCTTTCCTCCTTAGTTATCTGCTGCTTATGATTTCTTTGCTTTTTCTTTTTTTTTTGGGGTCAAAATGGGTTTTTGATTTGATTATAAATCTCGAGAAAATTGGCTGCAGAAGTCCGATCCATTTGCCCTTTCGCGTCGTGGATTACACGTTGAACCAGGGCCTCGTGAAAAGGCTGTGAGTATATGTCATCTGGGTTTTGTTTTTTCTTTTTGTATTTTATGTTGTTGTTTATCACATTTTTTCTAATTTTGCTTCTGTAGTTGAACAAATGCAGCTTTGGAGTTTTTCTGTAGTTTGAGATCTAAAATATGTAATTGGACATAAAAATCTCGTCTTGAGGAGTTCTGGTGTAATTTGTTGGTATGACTGTAAAGTTTCGCCTTTAATCCTCTATTCAGATTTCTTTAGGGTGAGAAAGTATCTGTTCATGTATAGTTTGGATATTTGTGTGTTATTTCTTATCAAAATATTGGTATGATTTGGCCTTTGATATCCTTATATCTCTGGCAGAGTAAACTACAAAAGGGCATATCCTTCAAGGTTTCTTGCCAGATTTTAAAATATCAACTGATTTGTTGGTATACAATTGTTTTGCATAATGTTGGGCTTATTCCTTTTCAGATGTCTGTATATCTAGAGAATGTTTCTATATTATCCTTATCTAGATTACACATTTCTCTAATTGTTGGCAGTGTCATGCGGTATATTAAGTATTGTTAGACATACCTAGTATTATGATCTTGGTTTCTTAACTTCTCTTTAGATGTGTGTACTTCCAATTTTTTTAGGATATAACTTTTTTTGAGGGAGTCCAGGAGTTGACAATTCCTTGTGTAGGATAAGGTTGCTAATTTAGAGAAAAGGCAATCAGGGGAAGAGAAAGGGGGAGGAGGGGTGGCTGCTTTTTTTTTTTTCTTTCTTTCTTTTTCGGATTGGCAAAGTGGATTTTATCAGTAGAAATGCATCCACAAGTCCAAACAAATGGCTGGAATGATCAGTCCAGAAACTTGTGAAAAGTAAAATTCTTCTTATCTTTGAGATTGGGTAGTGTGTGTCCTAAAATGCACTCCTTTTTCATCTCTAGCCATAAAGCCACACAAGTGCTACAGAGCAGGTTATCTGCATCCCCAATCCTCATGGTATTTGCATCTAAGCAGTCCATGAGAGCCTTACTTTTACACCAGCAGATTTCCAGCTGCAATTCTCTCTGGCATCAGAGAAGCAGATAATTTTTCTCCCCAGCCCTTTTTCCTTCTCAGATTTTCACCCTTGAAAATAGCTTCTTAAGTTGTGTATCTCAAAATGGTGATGCTTCTGGGGGCTTGTGACTCTGAATTCCCTTCCTATTGGAAACTGAAAACCATAGTTTCTGATCCTGTTTAGCAATCCTTAATTTGAAAGCATCGTCACGTGTTGTTTGCTCACTTTCATTTGTCACTACCTGTCCAGCATACCTGGTACTGGTAAAGCCTGGATACTACAGTTTGATAAAGACTTGCAATGCTATGCTGGAGTCTTTCAAATATTTGTTTGAATCTCTGTTACATGGACTCTTCATCCAACCCAGAAGTACCTATGTCTGTAGGATATGACAAGGGTGCTGGTAACGGATATGTCTTGGATGTGGTGAAACATCAACTAGGTACTTTGGCTTAAGATGGGACTCCTGGGCTTTAGTAGTCCCTGCTGAAAATTACCTGACAATATTATACTCTTTTCTGTTGGTATCGATTATTAGCACAAGCACATTTTTTGTTTAGCTTTTAGGTCAGTGAAATATCTAAGTCAGTGGTACGAAGTTTGTTTATAAAATGCAAACTTAATGTTCCTCATTATGAGTTTAAAAGTATTGTTACCAAATTGATTCTGCCATATCCAAGTACCTATGTCTACTTTTTTTAGCTGTCCTGTATCTTGTAATTTATGAAAGCTGAAATCTCCCATAGCGTATCCTTACGCCCAAGTCAATGAAACACAGATTTGAGCAACTGAGGCCCTCTTGTTAACAGAGGTTTGGTAAAGGTTTGGAAATATAATTTGACAGCCTCTGTGCAGACCATCTATCCTCCCAGATTTTTGCTCAAGTGCCATTTCTGCTTTGAAATAATGTCTTACCTGTGTTCCATCTATTCGTAGTTGCTTCCAAGATTGCCGCACCATAAGGTCTAGAGATCTTACACGTTTTCCAATTTCTGATATGGTTGCCATATTTTTTAGCAATCAGCTTACTCTCTGTTTATCTTATATCTATAAAGTATATGACAAACTCTGTTTTCTTTGGAGAGATTTTTTGTAGATGAAAATCTTTACTGATCCAGTATTCTTCTCTCAGAATTTGGAGTTGTTATGAATTTCCAGTCTACCAAATGGCACTTTTTTTCCTTTTGCACCTTTTACTGAAATTCATTTGCTGTCTCTCCAGCCTTAACAAAATCTGTTTTCCCTGTAGAGCATTGTCATATATGAGAATCCCCTAGCAAATAATCTCTTCTTGCATTTGGAGTCCCTACAGTTTTCCGGTCTACCAAATGGTACATTTTATTTTCATTTGCACCTTTTTAGTGAAAGTTCTTCGCAGTTTCTTGAGCCCATTCCCTACAGAGGATGGCATGGTTAGGACTGACATGAAGGATGTATTTCTGCACTCTAGGGTGCTTTTGCAATTACTTATTTCCCTACCTCAGAGAGGTACTGCCTCTTCCATCCTGGTTGTCTCCTTTTGAGCCTTTGGTGACTGGATTCAACACTTCACTTGGGTGCCAGGTGGACAAGAAAGAAAATTATGTATGAATTTTTTGATTACTTCGTATGAATTACTTGTATTGGCAGTGATACAATCTGTTTATGTCATTTGTCCATATTTATACTTCCTAGAATTTTTTAATCTTTTTCTGGTAAAAAGAATCTGTCAGGTAATGCCTGTGCTTGAGAAATCTCTGAGCAAGTACACTTGAGTTCCAATCACCATCTTGACATGAAGCTTTTTGAACCTGTGTGCCTTTTCCATACCTGGTTAAGTTTCTATTGGAATTTTACTTGATGATAGCTATGTGTCACAATTTGTTAGACAAATGCTTGTCAGTTGTTTACTTGAAAGTCACGAGCAGAAATGCTTATGTCATTCCTTAGAGCGACCATTTGAACATTTTCAATCCTTTTGAGAGTTATCAGTTCAACCAGAAAATTACAAAGTCAACTCAAATTGACAATTTTTACCAACTAATGCAGTTTGGGGAAACCTTTTCCTTTGTCATACCATAGGTAGCTATTATTTGTACATTTACTCAGAATTACTATCGGTAATCTTTTCACCAATGCTACCTTTTTTGCTTGGTTGGGATGGAATAAGGGGTATTTGACATGACAACTTGGATGTCAGTATGGCTTTGCAGACACCAAGTTGTTCCCTTGGAGCTTTGCAACTTGCACCTTTTTTTTTTTTTCCAATATTGGTGAACTTTGGAAGAATGAGCTTCTTTTCATACTCCAAATAGAGATAGAAAGTGGTACACAGTAGCTGATTTTGTTCTTATTTAGAACTTCTCATAATGCTTTTCGGTTAACATCCTGGATAAGGTTGACTGGAATAAACCTATGAAGAAGACATAACAGGGTGAAAAATCTGCTTGAATAACTGCTTATTGGTATTTGTTCGTTGATCAGATTTCATAGAATTAAGCATGATGCAACGTGGTTCTCCAATTATGAGGTTTCTTTCTTGTTGGTAGTTTGGAGCATTATCAACGTACGTTAACTCCTTAGTCACATAACAGTAATGCTGCCCTTGAAAATATAATCAAAGGAGGAAGTATTGTCTTCTGGAAAGAGCATTTTTGTACAGCTCTGGCTCTTAACCATCCTTTGATAGTCTATTGATCCTATAAATGAAGTTATACTCATTTTTGTTTCTGAAGTGGTCGAATTACATAGATAGTTGAATATATTGGTCTTAATCAAATGGACAAACAACGAATTAGGTAGTTTTTGCAGAAATCCAGCACTCTTATCCTTTTTTTCTTTCGGTTAGTTTCTAAAGGCTTTTGTTCTTGATGCTTGTATTTTCAGGATGTTGCTATGAGATCTATGTCAGAGCAGTGATGCGAGAGGAAGCACGAAAACAGGCAAAAGAGAGTGCATAATGGCTCAGTTCTGTATCACTGATCTTTTGAGATTTCTGGTTAAAGATATTGCTCCAGTACTTTGAGATTTTGGTTGGAAGATACTTGTTGCATGAGCCACAGGGTTTGATGATGAAAATAATTGCTTCTACAAGATCCAAGTCACCCCTTAAATCCCAATTGTCAATTAAAATAGAGTGCATTGTGCAGTGATACTTCGAGATGCAAGTGGGCTGTAGTAAGCTACGTTGTTGTTCTTTGGTTTGTGGCTTGACTGCACTGTGCTTTTTTCCTTTTATTTTTTTTATTAAGTGGAATAGACATTTGACATCATTCTATTTACCATAACAAGAGTACAGTAAAATCGGTTCTTGCTGTAGTTTGAAAATTGGTTCTCAAAGCAAGGCAGCAAAATCCTGTACAAAAAGGGCTTTTTGGGTGTAGTCGTGTGGAAGGTATATCAAATTTCAATTGTAACAAGGTAGTAAATAATGGAAAAAAGAAAAAAGACGCACATATTCAATTTAATATATTTTTTCATGTAACATCAAAATTAAGGTTAGAAGTAAAAAAAAAACAAATATTTAACTTCACAAAGAAAAATATTGTAAGGAAATGATGCATTCAAATTTCTTGATAGCCTATTCTGAACATTACGTCCCCCAAAACAAATGAGATTATGAGAAGAATGATCACCTTTTTAAGCAAAAAGCACAGAATTGCTGAGAGTAATACCAGGCTTCAATGCAAAATGAAAATTGAAATCTCCAGGGAAAATAATAGTGGAGAACTGAAAATCTTTATTTTGTTTATTTATTTTTTCTGTAGTTATGAGCTCTGGGTTCTCTTTCTCCGTTGTTCAGTTTGACAAATTAATGATAATGAAAGGGGTTTAGAACAGATTGTAATATCATCATGACAATAAAAAGGGGTTTAAAAGAAATGATGAAGAAAAAGGTTGGAACTAGGAAGTGGAATATTTTCACTTTCGGCTATGGAAAAGACAAAGCAATATTTTTTTTATTTATTTAAAAATGGGGCTGATATTTAAGCCAGGATATCATACAATCCTCTTTTCCACTTGAAATTCAGATACATAACGTCTTTCAACTCCTTTTTCTCTAATTTTTTTTTTTGATGTTTTTTAATAACCTAAAAGACAGCAATCAGTTGGAGGATCATTTACAGATGGGCATCATCGTTCTACGTTTTTTTTTTTTTTTTTTTTTTTTCCTTTTCTTTTCGAGTAAAGAGTCATCATTGCACTAAATCTTCGTTTTGGTTAGTATTCTTTTCTTCTTCCTTTTTTCCTTTCTTTTTTTACTTATTCCTCAAAATATCTTACTTCTGTATTAAATTCAAACAAATCCTATGCTTGACAGTTGAGAGTGGAAATGATGTGCGAAGGGGAGGGAAAGTAGAAAAAAAATCAGGCAAAATTTATTTTCAATTTTCTTAGATAGTGTCGCTTTATTGAAATTTCAATTCTTTTCCCGCCTAATGGTGGAATATGTTGCTTGCAACATACCACACTTCACTCATGTTCTTTTCTTGTTATCTGCTTTAATACCTATGTCAATATAAATTAAGACATATAATGTTGAAAGATTATAATAGTTGATAATATTTCTATTGCCAATTGCAATGCCAAATCCATAGTATGCCCATACCTAGACAAAAATTTAAGGGAAATCATTGAAAACGCTCTCAAATTCCGTCAAATAAATATTTTTGTCCTTTATTTTTAAACTGTTGATTTTACATCTCTTATAAATTCAAATTAACAAATTTTGGTCCCAAATTAAATTTTGACTATTTTTTAGCCTGCAATCACCACATAACCTATATACAATCATTTGTTATGTACAAAAAAGTTAGATCTCACTCTTTTTAGTGGCAAAAATAAATATGAATTGGATCAAATTTGATATAGTTGGATTTTTTTTAGTTGTAAAAAATGAATATGGATCAAGTCATTAGTTTAACTATTAATGGGATCTAATTTCTTTTGCCCCTAAAAAAATGATCATGTGTGGGTCACGTGATGGATTCGGAGTAAAAAGTAGTTAAAAAAACTAATACCTATTTGGAAGTGAGTTTTTTGGCCAAGTTTTTTACCTACAAATTTTTTAACAACTTTAGCTACAGGAACCTAAAAAAACTTATCAAATTTTTTAACCTACATACTTCAAAATATCTAATACACAAAAAACTTCTATCTTTCTTTTTCTTTCTCCCCCACCCTATCCACCATACCTTCATCGCCGGCCAGCGCCACCACCTCCGCCGCCGTTTCCGGTGCCGGCATTCCCAAAATTTTTTTCCCTTCCTTTCTCCCTCCCTCTCTCCTTCCATCCCCTCTCCCCCTCCCTTCCCCGGCCAAACTCCCTCGACCTATGCAGCAGCAGCAGTTACTTTCCTCCTGCTCTGGTTTTTCTTTCTCCCTCCAGTCACGCCAACGCTATGGCTGATGAAGGGACAGGGGGACAGGGGAACAGGGAAGGGGGTGGCAGGATAGAGGGGTGGCTGGAAACGGGAAACAGGAAGAGGAACAGGGGAGGGGGAAACAGGAGGGGGTGGCGGGACAGAGGGGGTGGCGTGCAGAGGGGAGGGGGAAGGGGCAGAGGAGGTGGCGGGCAGCGGGGGAAGGCTGGCGGGGGGAGAGGGTGGTGTGGAGGGGAGGGGAGGGGGGGGCAGAGGGGGTGGCGGGGGAAGGGCTGGCGGGGCAGAGTGGGTGGCGTGCAGAGGGGAGGGGGAAGGGGCAGAGAGGCTGGCAGGGGAAGGGGGTGGCGGGGGAAATGCAGAGGGGAGGAGAAGGGGAAAGGGAGGAGAGGGGTGGCGGGAGGGGAAGGAAGAAGAAGAAGAAAGAGAGGAAAGAAAAGAAAAAGGAAAAAAAGAAAGAAAGAAAAAAAAAAGAAAAGGAAAAAAAAATTCACCTTACAAAAACTTCTATAAAATTTTTTCAAAAACTTCTACAGTGCACTACAGTAAAGTTTTAGACAAACTCCCAAAAACTCAGGTTCCAAATAGGCCCTAGGTTTTGACCAAAATTTACCGATTTAATTTTGTAAGGAATGTAAAGTTACTATTTTAAAATTAAAGAACGAAAAAATTTATTTGGCTAAATATAAGGGACAATTTTAGCGATTTTCCCATAATTTAACGCAAAGGTTTCAAGTCATGTGGTTGAGAGGCGCTCATATAGATAAAGCAAAATAAAATTGGTGTTATCTGCCAAATTACAGTAAAGTTTTCACAAGTTCATGTCAAACTTTCCATAACGAACCCATGAATCCAAATTCTTAAAACAATATATATTTTTAAATTCTGACTAACAACACTGAATATTCTTTATACTAGCTAAAAGATAAAAAAAATTAACATAAAACAAAAAATAAAACCTGCAGTGGACCATTTTGGGACCAAAGTGCTACAGTTTACATCACTAAACCAATGAAAGCGAAGGTAGCCGTGACTTAATCCATTCTAGACAGAGTTGACACATGTAACCATTCCTGGGCTACTTTTCTGAATAAATATAAAACAAAAAGCAAGTAAATGCATCTCTTTATAATCTTTGGATATTGGGAAAGCATGATTGAGTTAAGAATAAGTTGGACAATGTGCATGCCCTCCATTTGCTTTTTTTCTTTCATTTTCTTTTTGCTAAAGATCATGAATGATCTGACTAGAATTTGAGAAAAAACAGTAGTCCATTTACATCTTTGCCCTTGAGAGAATAATAAATCATGACATTTTAGTTTTTTTATATCTTTATGTGTAATATCATGTTCTTGATTCATTGAAATATCCAAATGCTACTTATGCCATTATAAAGGAAAGGAAATTGATTGGGTCAATAGTTTACATTTGATTTCTTGAGTTTGATTTTATGTTTTATTCTTTATATTTTCTTCTGGTTCTTTTTTTTTTTTTTTTGACAATGTGTCTCTTCCTTCTTTGCTTTCTGCTATTGTTGAGGACTCACATTTTGACTATGTATTTAATTAATTTGAAATTCATACAGAATCCACAAGGAAAAAGAATGGAAATGATAAGTTTATTCTTCATTGGAGTTCACTCAATTCTTCTCCCACTTGAGGCACATCTACATGGACATATTTCATTTTTCATTATTTTATTCATTATTTTACATTTTATTAAACATGTACCATCCAATAAGATGCAAAAAGTATTACAAAGATAACTAAGATTAGCACAATTATCTATAATAAGAATACCAAGAACTTCAAAAAAGGAAAAAGAAAAAAAGAGTTTCCTTGGTCCATTTTGTAATGAATTATAACTTTTACTAATACCAGAATTTCATGTCTAAAATCCGAGTAATACATACAGCACAAAATCGGATCCCGACTTCTCCAATTGCTAGGCACAATTGTACAGGGTAATGTAATACTAGCACAATAGTTGTAGAGATTAAAGTTTTTGATCTTTCATTGACTTCACTCTAGATTTTAAATCCGATGAAATTCTGACTCTCTATAAAACAATAATAATAATAATGATAACAATAATAACAATGAAGTGATCTTGTAGGATTTTCAAGAAATTCTTCGATTTCTGTCGGAAGCAGACGTAACGTCAATATGTACAGATACTACTTAGTTAATATTGTGCATAAAGTCAATAAATTTTGACACAAAATTATCTCTCACAATCAAAATTTCAAATTCAACAAATTCAACCCATTAATTACACTATTTTCTACAAAATCATAGACCATATATCTTCTAATTGCGTGACACGTGTCCCTTTCTAGGGGGCATGACTGTAAACATAATAAAGTTTGTGGAGCCAACTTTCAGAACCAAAAAGCACTAAATTTTAAATTACTCAAAAATCCCTCTCCAAATGCGGACAGCTACAATTTGTCATACTTGACAAAATGTTCAACACATGGGATTGTAACGCCTGCATTACACCTCTGACTTCTGAGCTGTAGCTCTCAAGAATTCAAACACTGAAGAAAAAAGGTAGCAGAAGTGGAAGAAGACTAGACCCACTGAAATCAAGAGGAAAAGGACTTTTTATATAGTGGATTTTTGCAGAAGAAGATCCAGTGATATTAAAAGAGGACCTGGCTTCTGAGATTGATATGGCAACTTTTGCAGGGACTACTCAGAAGTGCAAGACATGTGAGAAGACTGTGTACTTAGTGGATCAACTTCAAGCTGACAGCAAAGTCTACCACAAGTCTTGTTTCAGATGCCACCACTGCAGGGGTACCCTCAAGGTGCATGATGATATCTTGATGATCTTTGTTTTATCTGTGAGAATTTTCTATATTTGCTCGCTTGCTCTGGTTGTTCTCTGTCTTGGTCATTAATGGAACTGAGAATATCTTCTAGTTAGATACCTGGATGTGGT